TGCTTTTCGGTCTAGGAGGGGGAGGGTAGTTTGCTAATTCCCTTCACTTTCACTAGCTCCTGTTAAACTTACAAGTGTCATTCTGGAGGGACTTGAGGACTCCTGCCTAGTGTGAACGAAACTTCCGCTATTGCGCAGCTTTACAGCTTTAGAGCGCGGTCATACTTTGCGATTATCGCGCGATCCAAGCAATCAAGATCGCGAAGCATCTCAGCCCCAGGCTGCGTTCATACGTTGTGTGGCGTTTTGAGCGTACGCCAGCGCCTGCGACCAGCAATGTGAGGTATCTATAGCGTACGCCAGCGTACAACAGCGTTTCGAGTGACTGAAAAAGTATGGTTATCGATCTATCATACGCTAGCTCGATACCTATACTTTCTTAATCGCTGGAGCTGGCGTGCGCTGATGCAAAGTATGAACACGCCTCACAAGCCTCCGCAAAAGGCGCGGGCATTGGGCGATAGGGATCAGCAAAATGCCCCCACTAAGCTGAACTTCGCCTCTTCTTCCCCAACTGTTAAGCCAGTCTATACTTCGCCAACGCGGAAAATCCACGATTCATGTGGATCGGCGAGGAACGATCAGATGGAATCTATAGAGTTCAATCATCGAATCTCTCTTTCCGAAAGTGGGTCAAAAAATTTCTGTCTTATCTCTTGTCGACGATTCACCCGGATACCGGGTTCCACTTTTGCAATATTCGAGTGCTACAGTCAGCGCGTTTTACCTTGTGATTTTTTTGAATCGCGCCATCGAGTTGTGAAAACGCACCCTTAATGGAAGCAACTTGCAGAACTACAAAGAAATGGATTCTAATTAGTTGTGAAGGAAGTGGCAGCATGATGTGTGTGCGAAGAAGCCTCGGTGGATGGATATGCCCTGCTAATTACATCCTTGAAACCCATTTCCACACTTCGGCATACGTGAGTGATTCATTTGCAATTACTTTTTTTAAAACGACTCGCTAGATCAATATGATCGCGAAGTATGAATGCGTTCTGACGTACTCCGAGGTCAAGGGTGTTATCAGTATTTTAGATAGGTTCCATTGGCCGTTATGCCAAGCTGCAGAAGCGTAAGGACCCGCTAGCTGGTTATCCACCAGAGTTCCGCGCAAAACTCAAAGAGTGGCCAAAACTACTTCAGGCTGAAATTGATGAGAGCGTCTCTCACGTTAGTGACTTTTCCTTCATTCGTTTTTAGGCTACAATTTTTAGTTTTCGCATATTTTAGCTGAAAGAGCTTCGAGAAGTCAGTGATCTCCCAACTTTGGAAGACCGTGGACTGCTGCTGGGTAATCTTCGATTGGTGTCCGATGACTTGCATCCAATCACAGGGCGTACTGTGATTTTGAAAAGGATTCCCTCCCCTAACGGAACTGATCGATCGAAGCTTTTTCGTGCAGGTACGATCATTCGCATACGGTCTTTTCAGTATGGATACGGGGCGTGAGGGGCGGGTTCGGCCTAGCGCCAATCCGTTTCACACTAACTGCTGTTACCTCCCCGCGTCAACAGTTAGGGACGAGAGGTGGGCTCCGCGACAAACTCACCTCCCTCTTACGCCCCAGCATCTTCAGCGAACGAAACTGCAAATACGATAAGGCAGCATCAATACTGTGCGAGTGTGGAGAACACGCGATTTGAGAAAATCCGCGATTCGGGAGAGTTAGCGGAAAGTACTAGGTTGGACGATAGAACTTGCTGTATGATTCTCCGGCGGATTTTCCGAAACCGCAGTTCCTCCTTTATCGCAAAGTTTGATGGCTTAGCTTTGTCGCTGTATGTGCTAATCCTAGGAGCTCCTGTTGCCATTCGCGATGCAAAGACGTTGCGAGAAATCGCCGAGTGTGTGATGTTGGCATCGAATCGGAAGGAAATCAAGGTGTTAACCATTTCTCGAAATGTTCTCCCAAGAGGTTTTTGTAATTCTTATGGTTTTCATTCTCAGATCAAAATTCGCCCTTCGAGTGCATCGCGGCATTTGGATGGTGACACTGACTACATTCTCACAATGTCTCAATCTAGCGGTGCTCTTCATTCCGTGCAGGACTTCTTTCTGTATCCCTACTATACTTTTGGGCGCTTTCGTACTTTGCAGTTGTACGCGAATTCGGAGTAACCATGAATCGTGAGAGTGAGTTCATCGAGGGATTATGGGCAAAGGAACTACATGCATCAGTCGAGCGCGTTCATACTTCGCGATGATCCGGTCGCTGTAGGGTCCACGTTGTGCGACCGCGACCGGGACGCTCAAAGCCAATCGGTGGATCAGTGCAACGGCAGAATTCAATTGCGCCGCCTTCATGACTGTTTGAACGCGGCCCAATTAGGAGTCTGCTGTTGCGGCAATCCACTGATTAGCAGTGGAGCGCCCTCCATCATGGTCGCGCGATCTTAGCGATCAAATCGTGAGGTATCTACGCGCTCTCAGGAATCCAGATTTCGGCGAATGCGCGACAAAGGCTTTGATGGGATTCGATTGGTTCTGTTCATCAGCGCTTTGAAGCAGGGCTTAAGTAGGGAGAACGCGCTATTCGCGAGTATGAGGGGCTTGTCGATTTCTATCCAATGCTTTTTCACGCCTTCTCCGAAGTCGCGTATTCACCACATTGGTGTGTTCCCAACTTCCTTTGCCGATTCTCCCATATCGCCCATTCTCCCGAGCCCGGATTCTTCGTATTCGCAATGTATGAACGCGACCTTGTCTTTCTCTTCGGGGTTCAACTTTCAACAAACTCTTACAATATTTAGGCAGAACAAAGTGGTCGATACGCCTGGTGTGGATTTATTAGGATATGCCTTCAGAGCAAAGAACATGCCATCCATACATAATGGTGGGTATTCCGTCATTTCATTTATTTCTATGTTTCGATACTCCACGTTTGTTAGTTTGTTATTATCGGAGAAAGATTTCTAGATAGAATGGTGGCGGACCTTTCCGATGAATTGAATGAAAGTCAACGTCGGGCTGTTAGCGCTGCGCTCAACAAAAGACGACCGTTCGTGACAATCCAAGGCCCACCAGGTACTGGAAAAACGCGAGTTGTGGCTGAAATAGTTCGGCAGTTGTTGAACAGGAAGCTCAAGGTGGGAAATCATTCATGCTCGCTGAAAACTGCTGCAGCTGATAACTATTTCAGGTCTTAGTTTGTGCTCCATCTAACGTGGCGGTTGATAAGGTCATGTCAGAAGTCATCAAGTTGCTCGGTAGTGAACAGCTTGAACAAGAAGCTACATGTGACGGGAAACGTGGTGAGAATTCAGCACCCTGTAAGCCAGAGGTTACCACGGGACGCGATGTTGCGCTCCGGACGTGAGGCGGTCTCAACGATGACCTCTTGTTGCCTATCCTTCCATTCACAATCTCTCAAAGAATTGAATTTCATCGCTGACGTATTCAAGATATGATTTCTGATGCGGAAACGATCGAGGAGGCCATCACATCTAATGAAAAATATCCTGAGCTGTGCGATATGTTCGATAAAATGGTGAGCTTTATTCCCACTTGATCATTCGATTGTTTGCCACGAAAAACTCGGGCTCTACTTCGCTGTTTCCTCATTCATGCGCTCGAAGTGGATGATCAGACCGTCTGCGGTTGCTTTCAATTTTAAATGTCTGTTCGATCACCAATATGGCGAGGCAACCGCGGCGACTCTGAAAAAGTTCCTTCACGGGCACATTTTCAATCTCTTGTAATCGCTTTATGTCCCTCGTTTTCTCTGCAGTGGTACTGCTCGGGGTATGCGTGGCCAGTGCAGTGTGGGACCGGGTAGCCTAAGGTGTGTGAGCGCACTGTAGAACGCCTTCCTCATGGGTTTTGTGTCACCGATCAATGTACGGCGCAATGTAGCATTTCTCAGACACATTCCGCAGTCCCAAGTTGGCTCAGAAATGAACTTTTTGTTGCTGGTGCACCGAATAGCAAGAAGAAACAAAAGAAATCGACGAAAATACGATAAGCCCAAATTTTTTCAAGTTGATTTTTGGCTTGGAACGAGCATATGAAGAGGTGAGACGCGAAGAAATGCTGAGCACGCGAGCGAGGGATCAGACAATGGAGGATAGAGAGCGCAGGGCACAACAATAAAGGCACAGCTTAGCCATTACGTGTACGGGCGTTACCTGGGTAATGAAGATGTGGTCAGTGTTACGTCACAATCCTCCTGGCGCCGTTATCTCTGCGGTTGTGCACCTGCTCTTCGTGAGCGCGGACGAGATTCTACCTCTCAAGGCAGTGTTTCACGGAGCGATTCAGTCGCAAGGCGTCGGACTAGCCGAAAGAAGTTCTGTACTGAATGAGACCGAATTAACGGTTGCAAGTAGCGGTGGAGCGGTTGATTTCGATGCGCATTTCTCAAATTCTCTTGCGGAATCGCCAGAGTCCAAAGTGTGGACAAGGCCTTATCGCGGGACATTCCCTCAATGCTTTGTAATGAACCCCTTTCATAGTAGTGCAGTTAGCTTCTTTCAGTAGTGAACTCAAGAAGGAATTGAACTTTCAACCGTGTTTTTAAGAATGCTTCAACAGATCAGGCGGTTCGAGGAAAGCTCAAGAATGACGCGAACAAGCTGAAATGGAAGATCATAAAGGTAGGCTTCTCTCACAGGAGCTCCTTAATTATTTCTTTCGCTCGTTGATGTTTCATAAGGTCTTGTTCGCTACGGATGAAGGGGTGTGTTAAACAGCATGGATTCAGCGGGGAGCCAGCCCGTTTTCCGCCAGCTGTGAGGCAAGCAGCTGCAAGTCTGCATCGTGTGTGTTGTTTCAGTAAGTTTCCATCAATTGTTGTCGCTTATCCGCTTCAGCAACTGGCTGGTTTGGACAAACCCGTTGCGCCTGACATGTCCCTTAATTTCGCTGCGAAAACGCTGTGCTCAAGCTTGAAGTCCTTACTAATCTCAGGAGTCCTACAAGAAGCGCCTTGCCATTTTCTGCACGTTGACGTCGTCAGCTATTCAACGATTGTCGCAGGTGAATTGGCATCCGGATGTTATAATTATAGGTATTCCATTATCGGTATAACCATTTTAATACCGCATAAGGGATAAACATTAATTTGGAGCTCATTTGGTTTGCAGACGAAGCTGCGCAGGCGTCGGAACCTGTTGCCTGGGCAGCGGTTGTTCAAGCGAAGCGATGTATTCTAGCTGGTGATCATGCACAACTTCCTTCTACAATCCTCTCTGAAGCGTAAGGCTTCGTTTTGCCCTAATTCCATGTTGATGAGGTATTTAAAGCCATTTTCAGTGCTCGCAAAGGAAACCTTGACGTCTCTCTGATGGAAAGGCTCGCGAAGGAATTTGTTAATGTGAATATCAATCAATTGCTAACCGTTCAATACAGAATGAATGAGAAGATCATGCAGTGGTCCTCAAGGGAGTTCTACGAGTCACGGCTCGTGGCTGCGGAAGAAGTGTCAAATATTACGTTGAGGTTAGTGTCGCTGGTGAATTTGTCAGTATGGTCCAAGACTTCACCCTATTGTAGTGAAATTTCCTTCATCTCGAGTGATTCTCCACTGAACAATCCACTAATAATGATAGACACTGATCTCGGGAAAGATAGAGCTCATCTCTGCAGGGAGTTGCCTTCCTCAGATGTCTTTCAAAGAATCCAGGTGAGCACTTTTGATCGTTATTATATGAAACAAAACAAGATCATCTATTGGGTTGACGCATATGTTTTTCCCCTTGTTTTGATCCTTCCGTATTTCGTTTACATGGATGATGGTATTTCGTATTTACATGGATGTTGGTATTTCGTAGTGTGCGTGACGTGTACATGATACTCTTTCATCACACTAGCTATCACTCACCCACCCTGCATTTGCAGGCCAATGCCGCACAATTACCACTGTGAAATCATGTCACAGTGGTGATTGTGCGGCATTGTGGCCTTCTTCGGGTCCCAGCCCCGTCCTTCTGGGAGGATGGAATCGACAAGCTGCCTGAGCGTTGGCGTCGAGTAGTGGATGGTGATGGTGCATACCTCTAATCTTCAGGCTGGTTCGCTATTGAGATATTTACAAAAAAGTCGGGGGAAAAACATATGCATCAACCTAATAGTTCGTTGCGGACGAAGGGGCGTGTGAGGCGGGATGAGTTTGGCGCATGCCAAACCCGTTCTCCACCAGTTGCTGGAGCGAGCAAGTAATAAGACTGTATCACATCGTTCGTATCACTAATTTTAGCAACAGTTGTCGCATACCCGCCTAAACAATTGGCAGAGAACGGGTTTGGCGCCGTGGCACACTCATACTGCCTGACACGCCCCTTCATCCAAAACGGAGTATAAAGTAGAAGTACAGTGGTTAGTTTGGGGCGCCACTATAAACTGGCCCAAAAGCGAAGCTGCGATACGTGATGAGATGGATCGATCGCTTAGGTCGCGCGATCCAAATGATCGAGCAGTCCCATCGGAGGCTAATTAGTTTCTTTGAAAGTGATTTTAGTTATG